CAGATCTAAAGGCCCATCCTCAAATAAAGAAGGCCCTTGAAAAGAAATGAGTATGCCTGTAGGGAATACACCTGTAATCCCAGCTATTCAGGAGGCTGAGGCAGGAGGATTGCATGTTTGAGCTCAGCCTCAGCAACTTAACAAAAACCATCTCAGAACAAAAAATAAAAAGGCTGGGGATGTAGGCTCAGTCTCATTCAATCTCCTGGATTCAATCTCCCAAACTCTCACATATCTTAGCCACTTTTGTTTGTTCCATTTCTTGGACTTACCTGCTTACCTGTCCTTCAAGGCTCTGCTCTCAAATGTCTTCCAACTTGTACAGTAGAGCTGTAGAGCACTGTCTAATCCTGTGACTGTTTACACATATTTCTCTAATGTCAATTACTGAATCCCCCAGATGCTATGACCAGATATTGTTCATTTTTTTATTCCTATGCTAGAAGTGCCTGGCACCTTCTAAGTATTCAAAAGGAAATGAAGGGACCCCAACAGGCAACAAGCACTGGCTTCACCATCTGAGGCCTTTTTGGCATTTTCTCAGAGTGGCAAGAAGCAGCAGCTTCCCACCCTCGATATTCATTCATTCATTGATTTACTCCACACAGATTTAGTACATGCTGCCAAGACGCCCAATATTGTGCTGGGAACTCATGATACACAAAAGGCTTCCAGGCCTTGCTCAGAGGCACTTCCATTCAAGGCAGAGAGACAGGAGTGTGGTAGGCCTTGGTCTGGCATCTCTGTGGGCCATCTGGTCTGCTCTGAGAACCTTTGCCATTCAGCTCTGCAGAGGCTGTGTAGAAAGGAGGTGGTAGAGGTGGGAAGGTCAGGGGCCTTGGAAAAGGCTCTGCCTCTGGGACCAGTTCTGCTAACCACTAGCTTCATTTGTGCATTTCTTTTTTTTACTTTTCTTTTTTTTTTTTTTTTTTTGGTATGAATTTCTTGCTGGTAGTAAAGAGCATTTGACACTTTTTTTTTTTTTTTTAGTTACCTGGGATTAAACCCAGGGGTGCTTAACCACTGAGCCACATCCCTACTCTTTTTTTATATTTTATTTAGAGACAGGTTCTGAGTTTCTTAGGACCTCACTAAGCTTGCTGAAGCTGACTTTGAACTCTCGATCCTCCTGCCTCAGCCTTCTGAGCTGCTGGGATTATAGGTGTACACTAGAGCTCAAAGCTACAGAGCTTAAAGCCTCTGCAGTCCTGTTACTCCCAAATGCAGAAGCTGGGTCATTATGATCAGCAATAACCATCATAGTTCTGCCATTGCCCAACAGAATCAGGGTCACTCCTTCCATGACTTCTGATAGGACCACAAAAGACTTTCTCACCTCCTCATCTTGAGGGCAGCTCATGAATAGAACCCTTGAGGGAGGACCTATAGCCCCAGCTATCGGGAGGCTGAAGTGGGAGAATCACTTGAGCCCTAGAGTTTAAGACCAGCCTAGACAACACAGTGAGATCTTGCTTTTAAAAATTAAGATAAAAAAAGAACACCCAAGGGCTGGGGTGTAGCTCAGTGGTAGTGCATTTGGCCTGGGTTTGATCCCGAGCACTGCAAAAGAAAACAAAAATCACAAAAACAGAAAAAGCCTTGCCCTGTTAGAGTTTACAGTTTAGTGGCAGAAACCAGTGATAAAAAGCCAAGGTTATCAGACAAGTTGAATTGAGAATAAGACTGGAAGTTCCTTTCAAAGAGCCAGGTCCTAGCTGAGCACGGTGGCTCATGCCTGTAATCTAGTGGCTCACGAGGCTAAAGCAGGAGGATCGCCAGTTCAAAGCCAGCCTCAGCAATTTAGTGAGGTCCTAAGCAACTCCATGAGACCCTGTCTCTAATAAAATACAAAAAAAGATTGGGGATGTGGCTCAGTTGTTAAGTGCCCCTGGGTTAAATTCCTGGTACAAAAAAAAAAAAAAAAAAAAGCCAAGTCCTGCCCTCCATCTATAACAGTTCATAGAAACTTACAGATACCTTTTCCTGGGAAGACAATTGGCGCATTAAGTGTGATCAGCTGGCAGTGGGCAGCATACATCTACTGGATGGCTGTGACTTTGTAGGCATCAGTCTCATCTGTAAAATGGGGGCTTCAGGACCTTCTTCACAGGTCCTGTATTCTGTGATCCCATATCGGCATAGCATGTGTTGCCTGGTTATGAACATTCTGTACCCCTACCAGCCTCTCTTCTGCTTAGGACAGACATGGGCAGGGCTGGGAATCCAACAGGTGTCTCCCCTATGTCCTGGGGGCTTGCTGCAGCAGCAGACAGGACAAGACACTTCTGAGCTGGCACAGGTCTAAGAGTATTGGACACAAAGAGGTGGGGCGCCCTGCTCTGTGCCTCTCTCCTCCACCCTGCCTTAGTGTGCCCAGCAGAGGCTCTGGAAAAGGCATCCACCCACCTGTTGGGCAGGACAGTTCACCCTTATCAGACCTTAGGTGTGGCTTGTGCTCTGTTCTTGGCAGCCATGGCAGCAGTCCCCTTCGTGTTCTCTGGGCAGGCCCTTCAGGAGTCCCTTCTCACCCCCAGAGCATGTCTGTGGGAGCGGGTCTCCAACAGATTGGGGTGGTTACTAGGCACTGAATTTCATTGTCTTTCCCAACAGAGCTTCAAGTAAGGGCTAACACCCTCATATTACAGTTGAGGAAACTCAGGCTGGGAATTTGCTCACTCTCCTCTTCTGTGACATAATTAGCATTTGAATTGAGTTGTCCAGCTGCACATCAACTGGGGTCCCAGCTTACCCCAGGCCAGCTTTGGTGGCCTTAAAAGAGAAGGTGAACTGAGCTTGAGAGAAATAGCAAACAGGGGAACATGCCTAAGAACTAGAAGTCTAAAATGGCTCAGCTAGAGGGAATCTGAGAGCATGTCTCTGTATCCCTTCTTTTACAGAGGAGAGGACAGGCCCAAAGTGACGGGAGACCTCTGCACATAGAACTCTTAAGCACCCTGCAGACTGCCTTGCACCTGTGTCCACACACTGACATTGAAAATGGCTCAGGATTTAAACCCAGCTCTACCACTGACCTGCTGTCTGACTCCAGGCAAATAATTAAACGAGCCCTGTGAAGTGTCAGGGTCCTTAGCTGCAGGTGGGGATGGTAATCTTGAACTCATCTCAAGAGCATGAGAACTTTAGAGATAGGACATGCGGAATGTAGGCATGGGGGCTGGCTGGCACTTGGGAGGTCCTGAGTAAACTGTAGCTAATACAATTACTCTTGTTTTTAAAGTTCAATGAACACTAGGAATCAGCAAATCTCTTAGGGATGGCTTTGATCTGTCATTCTGCTGGGATCCACTCTAGGACCAGAGAGGAAACAAAATTCATTGTTATCTTTGATCACTGAAATCTACCTCAGACTCAGTTTTGGGCCCATTTGTGATTCAAATCTGGAAGGATGACCATAGTTTGTAGCCAAGGTGGCAGTTTCTAGTCCCCAGTTCTGCCAGAGTGCCTGTGGCTTAAGGCACATCAGTCAACCTCTGTGTCAAATTTCAGTCAGTTAAATGAACATAGTGACTTCCAGCCCTCTTTTACTTCCATCCCCAGGGAAGTGCCCATCTGAGGGCTATTGTGCAGTCTAACACCTTCACGAAGGGCTATGCCCCTCTGGTAGAGGGTGAGGGAAGTTTTATCTTAGGGACAGAGCTGCCAGATAATGACAATTGGCCTCCACTTATTCCTGGGGAATAAGTGGTGAGACTTGTAGAAACCCTGCCAAATTCCATCTTCCCCCTCCCTCACCTCATGGAGCCACCAGAAAGCCCTCTGCCTAATATCAGCCTGGCATCGCCCAGCTTCACCTCCCATACCCAGGGGTGAGTTTTTCAAGTTGAGGGGATGCCTTTGGACCCCACATCCTTTCACCTGGTTCTCTCAAGATCAAAGGCAACCAGACATGCATTGGCAGGCTGGGATGCAGGGAGCAACCTATGGCAACTAGAGGGCTGGTCCCTAGTCCTCCCACCTGGCTGACCTCCTGATAAATCACCTGTGTTAAAAGGCGGCACCAAGAGAGCAGCTCCCTTTCATTTTCATAGTTGAGATGTCTGTGGAGCCTGGTGCCTAAAGAGCAACATCATCTCCCCTGGCCTCACACAGATGCTGTGACACTGGATCTGTCCCATGATTCCTGTGAAATCAGGCAGTGGCTTCACAGTGATTTTCTCTATCCGTGCAAATGAATCCTGGGTACTAGGTAGTTTGATTGAACTCCCCAGGTGAGAGAGACCTGGGACAGGACCCGGGCATCTCTGTCCTCTTGCCTGTTGTTTATGATGGCCACACAGACTATTCCTAAGACTCCCTGCTATTTTCATAGACCCACTTTGGTGTGTTCTCTATTTTGTTGGGTCACCTCCCTGATTGGGCCATTTGGGGAATTGTCTAGGTATCCTCATGATCAGTCTTTTGAGTCAAGGTATCATAATTGTGATGATAAGTCTTCTGGGAAAATCAAGTGGAGTTTCTTCCCTTTCCCTAAATAAAAACGTATCAAGCATCTATTATGTTCACTTCCAGAATGATGGAGAAATAGATGGAGAAACAGAGAAACACCTCCTTATTCACTTCCATGCCTCAGGGTGGTGCTGACAGTGTGAGTGAGGGAGGACTTGACGCTGTGACCTCACTGCCTGATTCCCCAGGTGGCTTCATTTGGAGCCCTGACCCTACCTGAGTCTTCAGAAGAGCCATAATACCCAGCAGCATCAACAGGAAGCAAACTCCCTGCCCACTGTTCCTGGCATTTAAGGATCTCCTGAGTCCAGACCAGCCCAATCTTCCAGCCTCAACTCCCACCAAACCCTTACCAGGTCCGGCGCTATCTCCTTAACACAAATGCTTCCATCCTCTGGACCTTTGCTGGGGCAGCTATTCATGATCCTGCCCTCCCCTCCCCCTTCTGCCTCTTAAGGATTTATTCGGACTTCTCTAAGCAGCTTTCCTGGCAACTAAAAGAAGACCGCCTTGCAATAAATTATTTCTCTTTCTGTGATCCTTACTTCATCGTTTCCCATTTATTCATTGAGTGTCGGCCTGTACCCCCACCCTGGGCTGGTCTCCTAGGGCTAATCTAGCCCACCTGGCCTTTTGTCAGGAGAGAGTAGTTCACACATGATTGTCACCGCCTCCAGCACCGGCGCAGAATCTCAGTGATGTGTCTCTCACCACCGTGTTTTGCACTTTGTCGAAAAGTGTCAGATGGCTTGTAGAAGAGTGTCAGATGGTTTGTAGACTGGGCTCTTCCTACTAATTAGTCATGTGACCTCTGGGGAATCGCCGGGCCATTCTGGCTTCTGTTTTCTGATGAAACAGTGATGAAGATACCTCAGAGTTATCCAGGGGACAGCGAGGCAGGATGTAGGAAAGTGTCATAAAAGCCCGGAACCCCGGGCCAATGAAAGATGTACACTGATTGTATCTCCATTCTCCTCGCCCTCGCTGCGAGACAATGTCGCTCCCCCTTCGCTCTCCCCGAATGTCAAGTGCACCAGCTTCCAAACCTTCCTCTGGGCGGCTCCCCCACGGATCGGAATCTAGGCTGTGGAGGGTTCCAGTGTAAACTCAGGACACCTCTCCTCCCTGCCACCCTTTCCCAAGGACTCGCGAAACACACCTAGAACCCCTCGCCGGAGCGCAATTCAGAGCGCCGCCCGGAACTGCAGCTCCACTGCGTGGGCCAAGGCCGGGGGTCGCGCATTTCTGGTCGGTGACTCAGGGCCTCTTGGTCCGGGGGTGGGGTGGGTAGGCGGGACCCACTAGGGCCGCGCGGGGGCAGCGCCGGGCAATCGGTCGGCGAGCGGTGGGAGACCAAGCTGGCTCCGACCCGTCGCCATTCCGCCGCGGGCGTCTGTCTCGCCAGGTCCCCGAGCGCAGGAGGAAGGCCCGTGCTACTTTCCATTCCCGGCGCTCCTTTACGGGTGCGCAGCGGCCCGGGCCGCCAGCAGCAGCTGGAGCGCGGATGAGGCTCTGCGCGCGAATGAATGGGCGCCCGGGGGAAGCGCGGGCTGAAGGGCATTAGGACCGTGAGGATCGCTCCGCGCTCCTGTCTCTCCCTATCACAACCCCCCCCCCCACCTCTCTCCTTTTTCTGCTCTGCAGGACTGAGCAGCCTGGCGCAAGCGAAAACAAACAGCTGGGGCTGGTAGCGCCCCCGCCCCGGCCTCGAGAGCACGCCGGACCCGGCTCCCACCCTGGGCGCCCGGCCGCCCACCATGAGGAAGATCCGAGCCAATGCCATCGCCATCCTGACCGTAGCCTGGATCCTGGGCACTTTCTACTACTTATGGCAGGACAACCGAGCCCACGCAGCCTCCGGCGGCCGGGGCGCGCAGAAGACCGGCGGGAGGCCAGAGCAGCTGCGCGAGGACCGCACCATCCCGCTCATTGTGAGTACGCCCG